GCACAAACAATGAATCATGGAACACTTCATCTAAAACTAATGATGTAATGTATGGGGATTAACATAAGAATAAAAAAAATTAAAAAAAAAAAAAATTGAAACAGAGAAACAAACAAACAAAAAAAGAAACAATCGGAAAGGCCCGCTGTGTGATGACGGTCCCAGGACACCACTGCACTGGGAGGCCAGACTCTGCTACTCCTCCGCGCCAGTCCCGTGCCACCAGGATGGAGGCACCTCCAAGACCTACGTGCTACATAGCCAGGGGCACGGTCCCTGAGTGGAGGGCACGCGGACAGGTGCTGGTTGGCTCGGACCCCTCTCTTCCCCTTCCTGAGCCCTGAGCTGCCCGAGCCTGTTCTCAAGGGAGAGAGTGCAGTCAACGGACTCTGAGACCACATCCAGCTCGCGCATCCTAAGCACAGGGGGCCTCAGCGAATGAGCTTGGAATGAAGTGTGAGAAGGGGAAACACAAACAGCAATCCCTACAATCTTATTTGGTGAGAGAAACACTTTTCTTTCTGGCCTGTGTTTTAACTTAACTTTTAATGGAAACTCACACTAGCTCCTCGGAGGAACAAGTCCTCTGTCCTGAGAGCAGCTGGTCGGACGTGTTCCGTATGTCCAGCAATGTTCAGTGCCGCTGGGGCTCTGACGTTACCTCTTGTTTTCTACTTCCCGCTGCCTTTTAGGGGTGGGGCCTATCCCTAGGCAGGAGTGGAGGATGGGACCAATAAAGCCGTACAACACTTAGAGAATAGGTTGCCTGGGAAAGAGAGCTCAGAGTTCCTAGAAATACCCCTTCCCTAAATGGAGAGAGAGGCCAGACTTGTCATTTGGTTATTCCCGTCTGGGGTGGCTGCTTGGTGCACACCCACTGCTGCCTTTTACCCACCAGCAGAAGAAAAAGGGGAGGCATGGAAATCTAAGAAAATCCTGTGCTGAAAACAGTTGGGAAGTGTGTGTTCAGAGGACCAGGTTATGGGAAACTGGCCGGTCCTTCTTAGCATCAGACTCTCTGCTGCAGTCCCCCAGAAATCCTTCCACTGAGAAGTCACACAACAGCACCTAACAGGTCCTTTGGAGCCTGTATTTACCTTCTCCTCTCCGCTTGGTACTCTTTTGGCTTTCAGGTTTTCAATTTCCTGCTGCAGCCGTGTCATCTCCTCCTTTAAAAGTGAAACAAACATTTACAAAACTCAGACAAGCTAGGAAATGGACTTGTGCACGCACCGCCCCTCTGCTGGATCGCCCGGAGCTAGGGCTTATCACACGACACACAGACAACCTACTTTTACAGGACAGCCCTGGGTTCACATGATGTTATTTTTTCACACTTTCTAAGACTTTATAATATATATATATATACACACACACACACACACACACATACATACCTGTTTGTAAATTAGTGTTTGTTAGACTGTGCTCTCAGTTTGGGGTTTGGAACACCCAGTTACTAATCTCACTCCCTTCTGGCACCCCTGGGGGGGCACCCACTGTAGCACCCTATTCATCTTACACAACTGACAGAACTGCTCCAGGATTCTACTTTTCCGATGGCAGCCGAGTAGGACGCCACAACAGATAAGGGGGTGTAAGGTGAGAGATTTCACAAGAGTCCTGGTTCAAGGTCTGCTGACATCAAGCAACACTTACTCGACAATGTGCTTTAAACTCTTGTTCCTGACTTTTCAGATTTTCATTCATGGCTACAAGTGCTCTCAAGTTCTGCAGGATACTGAAGAGAGAAGACCAAACAATGACATATGGAGAGCTGTTATGATTTTCTGAATCACAACTAAAACCAAGCCCCCAGCTGAAGAGGGATCCCTTTTTATTTTCCTTTGTCTCTCCCAAGACTGTCTAATGGGTTCTCCACAAATGATAATGACTACCATGTAACTGACATTATTACTCATTTATATACCCAAGTCCATCAGGCCCTGTCCAAACAAACATCACAGAACCCAGAGTTAAAATGTCAGCTTCAGAAACATCAATGAGTTTCAAGAGTCCTGGATCTCCTTGGTACCAATTACTCAACAGTCCTCAGAGCACAGACAGCATCATAAACTGTTCCTAATTTCCATGAAAAGGAAACAAATTGCTTAGGGTCATAAAAGAATTAACTGGAAAATAAAAACATGAAGTATCTGACAGGACTTTGCTCCATATCATGAAAGAAGGGTTTCTAATTATCAAGCCACATAATCTGTGGGTACTTCTTTGCTAAAAATGTCCTTCAAATCTGGGGCTGCTCAATCTGTGCCTGAGGCTTTTTATCATTCAAATGAGTGACACCTAGGGAGCTTTGACCACCTCACTGATTTGGTGCTAAAAAGGTCAAATGTAAGTGTATCTTATATGTAATTTAAATTGTTAAAGACAATTAATTTAAAATGAAAAAAAAGCCCAGCAGCTGTTCCTTAGTTAATTAATAAATAAATAAATAAATAAATAAATAAATAAATAAATAAAATAAAATAAAATAAATACCGCACCTTTAATCCCAAGGAGGTGGGGCTGAAATGTTAACAGTAAAAATTCTGGCAGCCAGGGTTGATGCCAAGGAGGAGGACTGGGTGGCTGGGGCATGGGGGGTGGGAGGAAGACTTCCACCACATGCCTTTTTGTTCTGTGAATGTATTTTTTGGTTCTTAAAAACAGAAAAACCAAAAAAAGCAAAAGCAAAAATGTGCTGCTTCTGCTCCCAAGGGGAATCAGGAGAACGAGGTGGCCAGCTCCGTGCAGCAGCGCCGTATGTCAGCACGTGCCCAAGCAACGGGGAGTCGCCACATTCTGGATCGGGCGTGTGGAAGGAAATGACCTGTGTGGGGCTGGAGGCAATGATCCTGGGCTCCTTGGTCCTGTGCTCAAACAAAATAAACTACCAGGCACTGGCAGACTTATTTTCTTCAAGGAGAAAATACACACAAGCTGAAACCTCTCACCTGGGATCTGCTTTGGATTCTATTTTCTCCAGGGCTGCTTGCTCTTTGTCCAGCTTCTCACTGTGATGCTTCAGCTGCGAGAGAGAAAGGAGGTGCTGCTGCTAGGGACTGGGGAGGACAGCAGAGTGAGTGCGTCCTCCCTCCCCAGGCTCACATCTGCGCCCCACTTCTGGCTGCTGGCCCAGCCCACCGGACCTGGCTGTACGCTGGAGAAAATAGGTGGATGAGAGAAACAGGATGGGGTGGGGAGGACGGCACGGAAAGGTCAACACCAGACCCTTTTGGTACAAGAAACCTTGGCAATAGCTCTAAGTCACAACAGCAGATGGGTGGAAAGCCAAAAGTAGTGCCGGCAGCAGGTGCCTTTCGGCAGGTCAGTGGGAAGGGGGAAATAAGAAGAGGCTACAAGAGACAGACCTGGTTGAAATGCCACACTACCACGGTCATGGCTCTGAGCAGGGGTAGGTTAAATCCAA